CCCGCCGCTGCGCCGGGCGCGGGCGCCGCCGCCCCTGCGCGCTCCGCTGGGCAGCACCTCAGTGAGCGCGGGGCCGCGGCGGGAGCGGGCGGGGTTGCCGCCGCCGCTCCCGGTGCCGCCACAGGTGACTCGGGGCCGGGGGCCGCTCGGTCGCCGCCGCGCCGCGGCTGCTTGCGCGAAGCCCGGCTTGAGCGATTCCGCCGTGCCTGCGCGACCGGGAACGCCGGGGACATGGCATCGCTCCGGCTTCTTCTCCTCCTGCTCCTGGCCCAACGCGGGCTCGGAGCCGCGGCCGGCCGAGGGCGGGCGCCGGGAGTCAGGCAGCCCATCTACAACCACATCAAGAGCCGCGATCCGCCCCCGGCCCCGCGGAGCCGCTCTCCGGAGAGCACCATCTTGGCGCAGCGGCTCGCCGAGGAGGTGCCCCAGGACGTGGCCTCGTTCCTCTACACCGGCGATTCTCGGGAGCTGCGGAGGGCCAACTGCTCCGGGCGCTACGAGCTGGCCAGTCTGGCCGGCAAGTCGCGCTTCGTCTCGCACCCGTCCCTGCACGGCGCCCTGGACACCCTCACGCACGCCACCAACTTCCTCAACATGATTCTGCAGAGCAATAAGTCGCGGGAACAGAACTTGCAGGAGGACCTGGAGTGGTACCGGGCGCTGATCAGGAGCCTCCTGGAAGGGGATCCCAACATCTCCAGGGCAGCCATCACCTTCAGCACGGAGCCCTTCTCTGCCCCCCAGGTGTTCCTCCAGGCCAGCAGGCACGAGAACCAGATCCACCTGCAGGACCTGTCCTCCTCCGCTCACCGCCTGGCTAACGGATCCCTGGAGACGGAGTGGTTCCAGGGCCTGAAGCGCAAGTGGAGGCCGCATCAGCACAGGAAGGTCTTGAACACGGGCTCCAAAACTTTGGAGAACAGCTGGAAGAGGCGAGAGGGCTTCACAGCTGATAAGAACCACATCAGATGGTCCTCTCCTTACCTGGAGTGTGAGAACGGGAATTACAAACCCGGCTGGTTGGTGACTCTCTCAGCAGCTTTCTATGGACTGCAACCAAACCTTGTCCCTGAATTCAGGTATGAGGAGGGCTCCTCTGGTGTTCTGTATAGGAGGGGGCATGGTGGGTACTCAGTGTTGCCCTTACTTGGGATGGTTGTGATGTGCCTTTGGGGTGAGCTTGTAATGCTTTCCACATGCTCTGTCACACCGCAGTGCAAGCCCAGGCCTTCCTGTTGAGCGTCACCTTCATGTGCCTTAGGGAGCTGTTGCTCGGTAGTATTTTATCTCAGTCTGTAAAACAGCATTTTCTTCAGCGATTCTCACTAAAACAAGTGTGTACGTGGGTTATGTTAGTGATGCTTCTGGAGTGGACAGAATGGCAGGCATTGTGGGTTGCAAGTTATTTCTCTGTGAGAGAAATATGTTTACTGAGCTGTTATTTCTTACTCTGCTGCATAATGAAAACTAGCTCAATGCCAGCTGTGATTTTAACCAGTTGAGACACTGCATTTTCTGGTCTTCAGAGCACATCCACTGTGGGGTGCTCAAGCCTGGTCAGCGGTCAATATGCTTGTAGGTAAATAAGCATTTGGAACTGCGGTTTTCCCAGTGCATATGATTACAGCCTAAACTGGCAGTTAAGAAGCTTTTGGGGGCGTTGTTTTTAGAACTCCCACCTTGTTACAAAGCTGTATAGATGATGCCTGGCATATGTGGAGACTTATGTATTTTCTATTGCTGTTACCTCTAGCAGCTTGCCACTGGGCTGTGACTAGCAGAGAGGAGGACATAGGGAGGCTTGTGTTTTTTGCCTTGTTGTAAGAGCAAAAAGATGTGGCTGAAGAGTGAGAGCAACCTGTGGGTTATGGGATATCAGGTTATAGTACTGCCATGCATGTAATGGATTTTATATGTAATTCTGTTGGAACACCCATTGCCCTGAAGCAGCTTTCTTTCCTTAGGGAGTAAGGAGAGCACAGATTCTTGCTTCATGCAGTGGTTCAGTAGCCAATGAAGATTTCCACTGTGCTGTTGGCTGTGGAAGAGGTTTTTCCCACACTTGGATTGCCATACAGCTGTGTATGTGAACACTTGTGTTTTTTTTTTTTTTTTTTGTCAATCGAAATTCACTGGGGTCAAATACGTGTGAATGCAGTCCTGTGTTCTTAGACATGAAAGTTATCTGTTGAATAAAGGATGGGTGGTTATTTCTCTGTGGCTTACCTGTTGCTCTGGAATTTTCACACTTCTGGGGCTCCTTGTCTGTAGTGTATTTGCTGACTTCCTTGCAAGATCAAAGAAGAGTTGTATTGCAGAGCTCTGCTGGATCTCAGCAGTGCTCCAGATGAGTTCAGGGTACTTGTAGTCTGAGATCCTTAAACAATTTTCAGGGTGCTGGTGAAAGCTAGTGTTGGCAGATATTCTCTTATTGGGGGATAGTTGATGTAACAGTGAATGTTTAGACTGGAGATGGGGTTGCAGCTGCTGGTTGTTATCCTCAGTTATCTGAGGAATTAGATCTTGACATAAAGCTGAACAAAGCCTTGCTGTCAACTTTAGAAAGGTTTGTTAATCAGCAGAGCCCAGATCTCAATTTCGGCTGTGTGCCAAGCTCCTGTGCTGGGAGTCATCTTGGTGGTGTAGGTTCCTGCTGTGGTGGTAGTTCTTATGCGCAGAGCACACAACATGCTGGGTCCACCTGAGAGCGGCTCTGGCCAACCAAGGCCACCAGTAGAGGTCCTCCTGGGTGCAGGGCACTGCCTTGCTTCCTGAGCTTTCTGGCCTCTGTTGACCACGTGGAATTGACCTCAATTAAAGAAATAATTTGTTGTAGTTCAGATACTTTGAAAGACATTCATTAAACATGTTGAAGCTTGGAGAAGCTCTTGGTGTTTAGGAGACCTTGAAGTGGGGTATGCTACAAGGTTGAACTCCTGTGTTGTTGCTGAATAGTTAGGACTAACAATTTTTTTTTTTCTTGTATCAAATCCAGAGGTGTGTTGATATGCAGTTCTGAGAAAATGGCTCGGTGTGTTTTTAGGTGGTTTTGTAAGGAAGCAGGTGAAAAAGAACATGCATACTTAATCTGGCAAAGCTAAATGGTGATTCCAGTGCTTCTGGTTTGGAGTATGTTACACACTAGGTGTCTTTTTGGTAAGCTTATGTTTTGAGATGTTGAGAAAGTAACTTTGCAACATAGGAGATAGTAAATCTGAAATATGCTTCTTCCAAGACTTGTGAAACATCTTAATATTTGTGCAAATGTTTTTGGTACTTAATAGACATACAGCTTCTGTGTGTTCCTGAGAGAATAAATGGCTTGAAGTCTAAGCATGTGAAATAAAAAGCTGAAACTTAGCTATTAGAATGCTAGTACTAATTGCTATAATGTCCCTCTTGAAATGAGCCTTATTTCCCCTCGCCATCTGTCCGAGTGACACAATGGTTTAGCTTTAAATTCCTATTTAAGGCCATATGGTTAGAAGCAGCGTATATTACTCTCCATCTTCTTCAAAAGCTGCATTGGTTCAGCAAAATATCTCTGAACCATCTGTTAGGAACCCTTCATGGCTCAGTTTACATGCTCCTTCCATTTAACAGTCTGGTGTGAGATCGTCCATGGTAGTTTAGTGCATGCCCCTTTGAAACTAACAGTTTATGTACTCCCTTCTTGGCTGGCATTTGGTTTATGGCATAGTACATCAGCGTAAGAAATTCATGAGCACAATTTTCTCTGTAGAAAAGTCTTCTCAGACTATAGAAGGAAAAGCCACTGCCCCTGCTTCTATTGCTGTAGCAGATGGATGCATTGTATGGTGTTGCAGTGGCAAGTGTAATAAAGGCAAGACTAATAATTATCTCTGGTTTTGTTCCTTAAATGCTGCTTCTGCAGTAGTGTTGTTAATGACTTCTGGAAAGTACAGTCACAGTCAAGCATTGCTATTGCTATCAGGTAGTGCTTTCTGTCAGAGGATGTGGTTGTCACAGGCAAGGCTCTTGTAAACACTTGCTATTAATCTTTCACACAAGGTGGAAGCCAAACTATGTGAAATGAAGGCCAAGGAGGGAATGTGATCTCTTAATTTGCCTTGCAGAAGTTTGATCTGTAGGCCCACATTAAGATGAAGCAGAGAAAGCAAAGGCTCGTTAATTTTGCCAGTGTCTGAGGCTTGTGGGACTGCATCAGCCCAGCACTAAGCTGACAGTGGTGACTCTGCCCTGCTGCATAGCAGGACTTGCTCTTGTCCGCGCTCACTGATCAGAGATCTGCCCAAAAGCGGGGAGACAACGTTCCCATCAGCTTATACTACAGATTCAATCCCTGGGAATCTTCTTGCTGCTACATGAAAGTAATCTGGTGTTAGCTTTTTCCTTCTCCTTTCCTCAAAACTCTAAGCTGATCTAATTTGCAGTTAGAATTTGCTATCTAATGTATTTTATTGCCCTACAGCTCTGGTACTGCAGAGGATGGAACATGCTAGTATTTGTCATCCATCAGTGACCCTTCTCTGCTGCTTCATACTGTACGATTACATGGAGCCACATTGCAGCTTGCAGTGATCCAGCTGGTCTCTCTGCAGTCCTGCAGAAGTGGAGGGGTGTGAAAAGCTTCATGTTGTGAATAAATTCCACTAGCTAAAAGTCCTTACTTTTCCCCTGTGGGGGAAATGGGAGGTCTTCATTGCTGCAGCAGTCTGGTAGGGCTGTGGAGAGGATTACTTCTTGATCTGGAAAGGAAGTGTACAAGTAGTCCACTACTAGGAGCACGAGCTTTTTTCCTTTAAAGCCTTCCTGGATCACAGGGTCCAATCTTCTGCATCACAAGCCCACTTAATGTAATCAGGTGACTCAGCTTCATCTTAAGTAGGTAGTTTTCCCTCTTAGCTCTCCACTTCACTGGCCTGAATGGTTGGATAGCTTCTTCTGATTTCTGATCTAAATTCATTCAGTCAGCCTTCGTCCATTTGCTTCTGTTCCAAAACAGCCTTCTGTCTGAAATAGCTCTCGGCTGATGTTTTCTGCCTGACCTATTTATAGGCAGCAGGTCCTTCTTCACCTTTGTTTACCAGGCTAAACAAACCTGCCTTCTCTGGTCTCCTGTCACAAAGCTCTCTGTTGCCATGGTCCCTACTCTCAAGAATAGTTCCAATATTTCTTGAGTATGGTTAGTCACATTTCTGTGCAGTGTTTCAGCATTGTGCAGTGACATCAGTTTTCCCAATCTCTGATGAATGAGCTATTGCTTCTGCAGTTCAGATTGTTCTCTTGTGTGCTACTCTCATTTTCTTTAATGTTGTGATGTAGTATGTCATCGCTTTGGGAAGTGGTCACTGCTTACTTTCATGTAGGAGGTCAGAATGTCTCTAGGATACAGGGATGCTTTTCCTTCTCCATGTTCTAGCAAGGCCGTGTTGCCATATTTCACCAAATCCAGGTCAGTCTTTGCAGTCAGTCTCTGAAGGACTGCTGGGAGGATTCTGTGGAATGATGGGTGCTTTGGCAGAAAGGAATGTAATTGGCAAGCTGAAGTTTGTCATGTTCTTTGAAGAGTTTTGCTCTGGAATATCTCTGGATACCTTCATTCTGAAGTTTGGCTCAATCAACTGCTGTAGCTGAGTACATCCTCTTTCTGACAGTTCTTTTTCTTTAGATTAATTAGAAGGCAAGCCTTGGTGCAAATATTGGTATTTTGTGTGCAGTTTTATTAGTTATTTCTTCCCTAAACGCAGCACAATACAGCATCTTCTACTGTACTATTAGAAGTAACTCATACCACTCCTGTGCTATCCCATAATGGGGTGCTTAGTTATTGAAGGCACATTCTACCAGGGAGGTAGAAGTATTATGACAAATAAGTAATTTCTTAGGGAATATACTGTGTATTTCATAGGTGTTAAATTGATTGGTAAAATAACCATAAAAGTGGGTTTAAAGAGTGCCAGAACATGTAGTTTTGTTTTTAAATAAGATTAAGTTGTGACTTTAAACTTCTTAAAGCATCCCCTTAATCTTTCCAGTCTAGTCTCTGTATTGAACTGGGAAAACAATTTGTAAAACAAGTTGTAACTGTTTAAGG